TAGAATTTGTAGTTCCCTGAAATTGGGCTGTATCATAAGAGTTGTTAGAGGTTTTTGATGCTCATAATGTGCGGTTGACTTAGGTGGCCAAAGGAAGTACAAACACAAAAAGATGGAATCAAAAATGCAAACAACTATATCCCGGCCTGATTAAAAGGTAAAAACTGCATAAATGGGCAGGAGAAATGGGTAGAGGTCCGTGGACAAAGGATCCCGGCTTTATAGCCACCTGCTGGGACCACCTGTTTAGATATGCTTCGGACAAAAGAGTCCGGGAATCGAGACAAAGAGCATAGCGATGTGGAAAATAATCAGTGATAAAATAAGAGCATAAAAGCACTGCCACCGAAAAGGGGTGGTTGAATTAAATTCGGTAGTGGGAGTGGGTGTGGCACTTCTGAGGGGTTGAGCGGTATGAAAAGAAAAATTGTGTGCATTATCCAGCGGATTCATGTTAATAGGCCTCGTTTAACGCTGCTGGGGTAGATGGCTTTCCCTTTCCGAAGACCTGCAATACCAATAAAACCATAGAAATCACTCCTTTCCCTCTTCGCAAACATATCGGTAAGCAAAACCAGATACTAGTACTCGTACTTCTTTCGGAACACAGTTTCTGTTTCATGTTTTTGGTGTGGCCTTATCAATTGGTACATTCGGTGTATGTTGTTTTATACCTGAGCTCGCTGTGCACCTTGTAACCGGTGAAACAGAGTGTCAACAAGAGTGTTGCCTCCTCAATGGGCAAATCTTGTACCAGACGATAACCGTAGGCAGATACAAGGGGCACATGAAAATAGAAAACGAGAAGAATGCGCACGTTGCGTATTTATAGGTACCCAGATACAGATACTTAGATACCGCGGGTAAAGCCTTATCAATGTTCAAGGTATCGACTGAAATGCCGTTCAAATATTTACACCCAGCAGCAAAGAGATACTACCCCATATTCACCCCCAACCCGGAGCTACTGCTCCAGAGTCCGGAGACGATGATAAGCGGGAGCGGACATGGGTGCGCTAATTGCGGAATGATAAAAACAGAAAGTAGCTAACAAAGTCGGCTACCATGACCACTCCCCCAGGGGCCACCAGCCCCTTCTATCGGCAACTGCCCCAGGGCGAAAACCACGCAAATGTTCCATCAACACGGTTGCCATTGCCAGGATGTTGGGTATAGTTTAAATAATAAAATTCCAGGGAGGTTACGTCTGTTTGCCTAGTCAAATTCCAAATACCCTGGCTACACAGAAAAAAAATCGATATGAAGTATGGTCAATTCTACATTATTTCATATCATTAAATAGGCGATTTAAATTATAGTAATTCAAAGTGATGTTTTATGATATCATATAAAATAACAAATTGAGAATTTTTTGAAAAAATAATGTAAACATAACCTTTATACATATCAAAATGATATCAATAACTTGATCTTTAAAATATTTATAAAATTGGTCAGCTCCTATCAATCTGATCTTTTGCCAATTTTTTTTTCTGTGTAAATGTTTGCACATTTGTTACAGGTAATTAGTGATTAATTGTTATAAAATAATTATATTTTAATAAACTCTTTTTACAGAGCCCAGGAACTTTTTAAAAAGATTTAAGAAAATAATTGTGAAATATAAATTTTGATTAAATGTATTAAAATTTATTTATCTGTAATTTATGCCTGCTTTGGAAAATCAGGAAACTCTGTGCCAGGGTATGACAATTAAATAAAATAAGAATTCGTATCTATGTTCACTTTGTTATTGCCAGCATTTTCGACTCGTATTTGCCTAAACCGGCCCCTAAGGAATATCAAGAAGCTCCTGAACCCCAACACGTTGCTAGACAGACCTTCGCTGGATGTTGTATAAAATCGAGGGTGAGGTTGCGATGGAATGGGATGGGTACGAGGATGTTCCCTTCTCTCCGGTTTGTTGGCAGCTTCGAGCGTATTACATAAAATAAGAAAAATTATGATTTCCACAAGAGGGGAAAAAGTGGAAGATTTTCGGGGGGCGAGGAGCAGAGGGACTGGCTGTTGCTTAACTGTCAAAATCGTGTAATTTAATAAAGTTCGCTGCGGGATATTGTTTTTTATAGAAGCCAGAGCAACATTGAGACAGCTTTTGCCAGCTGCCAAATGGGGAGTGGCTGGAAAATGGTGGCTGGTGTTTTTTTGGGGGGAAAGCAGTGGAAATGTGGCTCCTCAAAGTGTGCTGCACAAATACAAAAATATTCAGTTCACTTCAGTTACATACAGCATTGCAACAACGCTATGTTGTCTTGTTGGCCCGCCACAGGCACTCCACAAACACACTCAAGGGGGGAAAATACCCTATATATATATAAATATACACTTATATACCCGTACATATGAACATAGCTGTGCAATGTTTTCATACATCCGACTTGTTTACTCCAAAGCAGCGAAAAAAGTTTTTACTCTGCAAAATATACAGAACTTGTGCGTTGCGGTGAGTGAGAGGCAATTCGCGAAAGGAGAAAATATCTAAATAAATATTTCTTCAAATTTTGCTTTCAAGACTTTCAAACCACTTTATATTCAAATATTAATTTTATAAGAAAGATCTCTGGGTAAAGTTTGCAAGTGTCACCAATAATTTAGATATTTGTAGAATTATTAATTACTCAATCATCTTAGGTTAAACAGTCCCAGGTAAAATCCACAAAAAAATAATTAATAAAGTCTATGTACCTATATATAGATCTAAGTAGAATTACTATTATTGTTTTATTTTATTTACAAACAGTTTTATTTTTTATATCATGTTTTTTTCTTTAAAATGTTTTCTAGTTTCCAAAACAATGTCCCTTATTAAAGCTAGTCCCAGATGTCTTGATATTCTCAGCTGACATACCTAGCCGTTTGTTTTTTACCAGCGAAATTCCCATTTTATTTTATTAAGCAGCGAAGAAATATAAAAGTAAACAGTTGACTGCAAAAACACACATGACTGTGTACACCCTCCTGCTAAAAGAAAAAAAAGAAGGGAAAAGACGGGCCTTTACGCCACTGAAACCCACGCCCACACGTTTCCAGCGTCATATGAACGCCCCATTATTTACTTAACATAACTTGAACATTCGCCTTCAACCCCCTGACAAAAAAAGTACCCTCCATGGGGGAGCATCAGACGTAGCCAAAAAAAAAAGAATAAGGAACAGGCAGTGGGTGGAAAAGGGAGGTGGAAAAGGTGGTCGCTTGGCTTACCTGCCAGCCGGCAGTTGGCTAGTCAAAAAGCTGTCGTCGATGCTAAGCGCAGACCCAGAAAGCCATCAAATATGCAGGAGGAGGAAATGTGCAGGGAGGCTCCACAATTCCCCATCACCATCCACCTCTACCAGAATCCGGAAAAATGGCGAAAAAATGATTTATGTGGACGCCAAAAAGGAAGGAGCGGACGGAAACGAAAAGCCAACAATAACCGGGAAAAATAACAGAATCAACTGATTTCTCAACTTGGCTGTGGGCCTGCTTTTGTTTGCCAGACTTTAGTGGGGGGCCCACTGATAGACCCACAATTTTACCTTCTCTCCGGGACTTCATTCTTGTTTTTCCAGCAATGAAAAATGCTGAAAGTGTGCTTCACAGACAGCGGACTCCAATGGATTGGGGTCACCGAAAAGGTATAAGATATTGATGTCCCCAGGGGGAGCAGCTTTTTTTTATCCGAGCCTTTGAAAAATATAACGGAATCCTTATAGAAGGTGCATGAGATATTAATGCTCATCGGAAATACTAATTTCGCAAGACCCAACGTAAGATTTTACAGAACACAAAAATAATAAATTTATCATAAAGATATTTTATCTCCCGAAAATGTAGGGGAGTGTAGGGTAAGGTGACGAACGATTCGTTTTTTGAATGTAACTTTTCTAAAAATCAATATTTTTCAAAAGTGTAAACGCAGAAAGTTGCTTACATCTACTGAGCATATCCCTGTAAAATTCGAAATTCGAAATTCCAATGCAGCTAAATCCCACAGCGTTTGGCGTGAACCCTTCTTTTTTTGCACTTTCAAAAGTTGTAGGGTAATGTGACGAACGATTTGTTCTTTAATGTAACTTCTCCAAAAATCAATATTTTTTAAAAGTGTAAAAGCAGAAAGTTACTTACATTTACTGAGCATATTTCTAAAAAAATTTGGATTCGAAATTTTAACGTAGCCAAATCCCACAGCGTTTGGTGTAAACCATCCTTTTTACAAACAAAAAAATACATTTTTTTTTATATTATTTACGGAAAGGTTATTTTCGATAAGGAAAAGAAAGAAGTAATAAGATAATACCCAAACTTACAAAACAAAAAAATGGTCAAAGTGCAAATTTTTTTAAAATTAAATTAAACTGACGTCACTATTAAAAACAACAATAAAACTGCAGCAGTAAATGTTATCTGGTATTATTATATTTTATTTATAAATAATCAACGATAACAGTTAAAATTCTTGAAATAAAAAAGTTCGTCACAATACCCTACAAAAAGTTCGTCACGATACCCTACAAGGTAGACTTGGAGCACAAACGGTGTCACTCTCAAACGGTGCAAAAGAAACAAACGCGAGGTACCAAAAACTGTTGATAAAGATCTCATGTATACGTGCATATATTCGCCTGATTTTATTTTCCACTCATCTTTTCTCTGGCACTGCTGAAACACAAGTAAATTGAATGGGTTTGCTAGTTTGCGCACCACATTTTTAGCGAAAATTACCTCACGAACAAATTACGGGACTTCTTATTAATATTACTGTAAATACATTGTCGACACGATAAGGGGAGACGACTACATTTATTTGGAATTTTTGACGTGACGTCATATATGAGATTCGACGAGTTCGTCACATTACCCTACTCGTCAAATTACCCTACACTCCCCTACATATTTATAGATGCTTTAACTACAAGCAATGAATACTTGCCTTGCTTTCTGCGTCAAAGATAAGGGCAATATTCCATTCACATTTGCCTGATCAAGGGCACCCATTTCGATCCAAATTTCAAAATTCAAAAAATAAGGTAAGAGCAAAAAACTTCCAAATTGTCTTTTTCACTGTTCCTGCAGACCTATGTATCTTTTCACAGATGTCTGACATCAACTTAACTGCCTATAACGCACTCAGAAAAAAAAAATTCCTAGATTTAAGGAAACATGGACTGCATTGCCTAAAATGGTGATTTAAGGCCATTGTGGACTTAAAAATGGTGACCGTAGCCATGAATGCAAAATTCAAGTCCATAAAATTTTAGGAATTTATAGTCTGAAAAATAGTTAATTACCTAAAAAATCGGAAGGGCCTATAAACATTTTTTTTTATGTATTTATTTCTTTTAAAGGGCCTGAACCAAGGGTCTTCGGCATGAATAAATTATATAACTTTGCGATTAGATCAAAGAAAACCAGTAAGGTATATATTTGATTTAAATATTTTAGATTGCGTTAGGTGATACATCCTATCGGACTTACTATAAAGTGCAAGATACGAGACCCCCGGAATGGCTACGGTAAAATTCGAAGGAATATTCTAGCCAATAATATATCCAGTAATGCGTGAATAACGTTTTTTGTTCATATTTATTTAAATGTTTTAATTTTACATTTTTTCTGTCTATTTAAATTGTGAGACTTTGTTTGAGTTTTTGAAAAATAAAAAATGTTTCAGGTTTTTTATTTGCATTAACAATTCTTTCATTGAGTTTTTGAAAAATTAAATTTAAGGTTTCAGGTTTTTTATTTGCATTAACAATTCTTTTGTTAATACAGACTGGTATCTTTTAGAAGGTACTTCACTTATTAAGATCGTTTATAAATGATATGACTTTAGAAATGTTATCTTCAGTAGCAATATCCATTTCAAAAAAGTATTTATGGATAAAGTACCACACGAGTTTCGACTCCTCTGGGTACTTAAGATCCAAAACATTGTAAATTTTAAAGCATGCGTCGACTGCACTAACAATGTCTTTGAATTCATAAAATATGTCACTAAAGTAAATGAAGAACTCTTTACATTCAATCTCAGAGTCTCCAACACCGCATATGATGGGTTGTAAGGTTAATTTTTCTTCAAAAAGGGTTTGAATTTTTTCCTTAATGAATGTGTTGAGCTCTCCGAACGACTGAAAGCACTGGAAAAAGGATTTCCGAGAGTCCGCTGTAGTTATTTTGGCAAGTCGCTTCTTAGCCTCTCCGCACTTGACGCTTCGGCGACCCGTTGGTGTCAGCAGACCGTGGAGGAGGAGGAATACTGACAGATCAATTGTCCCTGTTGTACAACAAATAAAATTAAAATTAGTTTTGTTTAATAATAATTGAAATACGCATTCAATTATTTGAAATGGCAACCAAAAGTGTCATTTATAATAATTAAATAATTTAGGCAGGGCATAAGTAAGAAGGATATATAAATTTACATAAATTACCTTCTTCGGCTCCTTTGATTAGCTTCAAAATTTTGACGCTGAATGATTCCTTCAGGCGTTTTTCGGCAATCGGAAGAATTTTGTTTTTAAATTCCTCGAATTTAGAAAATAAATGATTTTCTTTTGCGGGAAATCGGTCCGCAAAGTCGAGTTTCAGCTGAAATAAAATATATGTTTAATATATATATTGGGCGTAATAAAATCGTTAGAATATGTATCTTACCAGCTCAGCACCAAAAGACTGTTTTAAAATGGGCCATGCCGTTAAAATTTCCTTCAATGAAGTTTCCGAGACAAGTTGTTCTGTGCGCTTCTTAAAAGTGTTTTCCCAATGGCGATATATTTCTGCCAGATTCGCTGTGTCATCGCTGTTGCATTGCAGCCATATCATGGAGTAGCTTACTGAATCAATGTCCTCCTCTAAAAAAGAAAAATATAAACGTCAATATTTTGAAATAACAGCGAATTTAAAGTTAAAAGAATTACCTGCCAAACTGTTTGAATCATCATCAGATTCGATAATTGATTCCTCCACCAATGATCGATTTTTAGAAACGGTATTCCTATACCTGGCATATAATAACCCACCAGCTTTTTTGTTTTTGATGGGTAGATAGTAGGTTTCCTTAAAAAAAATCATAATGTGTATATAAATATGTGATGAATAATTTTTTCTTTTATGTTATACCTTAACCTCTGTTGGAAAGAGGCTTACAATGTCAACAGCTACTTGATCAAATTTTTTTGGTTGCCATTCTATTTTGTGATTAACCAAAAAATCGCAAATGATGCCACATATGGCCTTTCTTTGCCGCTGTTCCAAGGACTTGTTTGTGCGGTAGAAATTGTTGATTCCCTTAAACAGGAGCGACTCTTGAAGAATGGAAATGGCGGAAATCTACATAAACAAAATTAAGTTAAAAATTGTTTACATGTATAGTGACATTAATTTACCTCCGTAGCCGAATTACAAGCCCTTTTTTCCTGCTATGTGCCGAAATAAACATCGTATATAATACTTAAAATGTTAAAGTTATAATATAATATTACCAATTTCATGCGTAAGGAGCGATTATGTTCGAACTTCACCCTAGCACCATAGAGTTTTTTGGGAACGATCTCCCGTAAGTGATCCGGAGACAGCAGTAAAACGGAATCTTCGTCTATTCCGTGATCTGTTAAAATAAAGACCGATTCAAAATTAATTTTTCACGAATTGTTTAATTTATTACAATTAACTAAATTTAAAATCACCGTATTTTTAAATTCTTACCCTGGAAGCAATCAAAAAGCTCTTCCGAGTTCAATTTTTTTAAAATTTCTTCCATCGCTAGTAAAAATAAAAATAATAAACCAACTTAATGAAAATATTATAACCAAAAAAAGGGTGAGTAAAATACATATATCTTCCTCAAGTCCGTCAAGTACTTTTAAAGCCAGCCACTGCAGCTTAGTTTTAAGGAAATGTAAACTCGATTCGCAAATAATCTCTTTACTTACTTTATGCACTAGCTAATTCTTAAATGATTAAGTTTTAAGTTTGTGCATATGTATGTACTAATGAGTGTAAGTATGTGCACATACACGTGCAAGGGCAGACACAAATATTTTATTTTAAAGAAATCACTAGTTTTTGTTACTCTTAAAACTATACAGCTACTTTCTCCAAACTAAGTTTTAAGTTTTAAATCTTTTTATTATTTTGTATTATATTTAATTTTAAAATATAAAGCACATGTCCACACACATATGTACATACATATGTATTTATTTGCAATCACACATGAAAACTTCAGCAAGGCTGGTTTCGGCCTGCGATTTTATTTACCAATAATATAAAATGTTATCCGATATGTATTTATTTACTTTGTTAATATTACTTCCTATACACAGTAATCCTTTTGACTTATTGTTTTCAATCGGGCACTCAAAAACTTTTCAATTTGGAACTCAGAACACAGTAACGCGTAGCAGATTTGCCGCCGGTGATTAAGTGTTGAAAAACGAAGTTGGTAAGCGGCCATTTCCAGGTTGGAATTCTTCAGTGTTGCATTATGTGCATGGTACAATAAATATAAGGTAGAAAGATTCTGGTAGCTTGTGGTCGATTTGGACCCCTAGATCATAACAAAGAAGTCCAAAAATTGTTTTACCCAAACATTTTTTTAAGATTTGTGGTGCGTTTGTGTTTTTATTTTATATTTTAATTTACAACTTTTTCGATATTTTCATATAAAAGGGTTTTTTTGTAAAAAAATGTTTGGATAAAACAATAAAAAAGCAAATTTGTGGTGCAACTTTAATGTCAATCTAAGAAAAAAATCCATTTTATATGAAAATATCGAAAAAGTTGTAAATTAAAATATAAAATAAAAACACAAACGCACCACAAATCTTAAAAAAATGTTTGGGTAAAACAATTTTTGGACTTCTTTGTTATGATCTAGGGGTCCAAATCGACCACAAGCTACCAGAATCTTTCTACCTTATATTTATTGTACCATGCACATAATGCAACACTGAAGAATTCCAACCTGGAAATGGCCGCTTACCAACTTCGTTTTTCAACACTTAATCACCGGCGGCAAATCTGCTACGCGTTACTGTGTTCTGAGTTCCAAATTGAAAAGTTTTTGAGTGCCCGATTGAAAACAATAAGTCAAAAGGATTACTGTGTATAGGAAGTAATATTAACAAAGTAAATAAATACATATCGGATAACATTTTATATTATTGGTAAATAAAATCGCAGGCCGAAACCAGCCTTGCTGAAGTTTTCATGTGTGATTGCAAATAAATACATATGTATGTACATATGTGTGTGGACATGTGCTTTATATTTTAAAATTAAATATAATACAAAATAATAAAAAGATTTAAAACTTAAAACTTAGTTTGGAGAAAGTAGCTGTATAGTTTTAAGAGTAACAAAAACTAGTGATTTCTTTAAAATAAAATATTTGTGTCTGCCCTTGCACGTGTATGTGCACATACTTACACTCATTAGTACATACATATGCACAAACTTAAAACTTAATCATTTAAGAATTAGCTAGTGCATAAAGTAAGTAAAGAGATTATTTGCGAATCGAGTTTACATTTCCTTAAAACTAAGCTGCAGTGGCTGGCTTTAAAAGTACTTGACGGACTTGAGGAAGATATATGTATTTTACTCACCCTTTTTTTGGTTATAATATTTTCATTAAGTTGGTTTATTATTTTTATTTTTACTAGCGATGGAAGAAATTTTAAAAAAATTGAACTCGGAAGAGCTTTTTGATTGCTTCCAGGGTAAGAATTTAAAAATACGGTGATTTTAAATTTAGTTAATTGTAATAAATTAAACAATTCGTGAAAAATTAATTTTGAATCGGTCTTTATTTTAACAGATCACGGAATAGACGAAGATTCCGTTTTACTGCTGTCTCCGGATCACTTACGGGAGATCGTTCCCAAAAAACTCTATGGTGCTAGGGTGAAGTTCGAACATAATCGCTCCTTACGCATGAAATTGGTAATATTATATTATAACTTTAACATTTTAAGTATTATATACGATGTTTATTTCGGCACATAGCAGGAAAAAAGGGCTTGTAATTCGGCTACGGAGGTAAATTAATGTCACTATACATGTAAACAATTTTTAACTTAATTTTGTTTATGTAGATTTCCGCCATTTCCATTCTTCAAGAGTCGCTCCTGTTTAAGGGAATCAACAATTTCTACCGCACAAACAAGTCCTTGGAACAGCGGCAAAGAAAGGCCATATGTGGCATCATTTGCGATTTTTTGGTTAATCACAAAATAGAATGGCAACCAAAAAAATTTGATCAAGTAGCTGTTGACATTGTAAGCCTCTTTCCAACAGAGGTTAAGGTATAACATAAAAGAAAAAATTATTCATCACATATTTATATACACATTATGATTTTTTTAAGGAAACCTACTATCTACCCATCAAAAACAAAAAAGCTGGTGGGTTATTATATGCCAGGTATAGGAATACCGTTTCTAAAAATCGATCATTGGTGGAGGAATCAATTATCGAATCTGATGATGATTCAAACAGTTTGGCAGGTAATTCTTTTAACTTTAAATTCGCTGTTATTTCAAAATATTGACGTTTATATTTTTCTTTTTAGAGGAGGACATTGATTCAGTAAGCTACTCCATGATATGGCTGCAATGCAACAGCGATGACACAGCGAATCTGGCAGAAATATATCGCCATTGGGAAAACACTTTTAAGAAGCGCACAGAACAACTTGTCTCGGAAACTTCATTGAAGGAAATTTTAACGGCATGGCCCATTTTAAAACAGTCTTTTGGTGCTGAGCTGGTAAGATACATATTCTAACGATTTTATTACGCCCAATATATATATTAAACATATATTTTATTTCAGCTGAAACTCGACTTTGCGGACCGATTTCCCGCAAAAGAAAATCATTTATTTTCTAAATTCGAGGAATTTAAAAACAAAATTCTTCCGATTGCCGAAAAACGCCTGAAGGAATCATTCAGCGTCAAAATTTTGAAGCTAATCAAAGGAGCCGAAGAAGGTAATTTATGTAAATTTATATATCCTTCTTACTTATGCCCTGCCTAAATTATTTAATTATTATAAATGACACTTTTGGTTGCCATTTCAAATAATTGAATGCGTATTTCAATTATTATTAAACAAAACTAATTTTAATTTTATTTGTTGTACAACAGGGACAATTGATCTGTCAGTATTCCTCCTCCTCCACGGTCTGCTGACACCAACGGGTCGCCGAAGCGTCCAGTGCGGAGTGGCTAGGAAGCGACTCGCGGAAATCCTTTTTCCAGTGCTTTCAGTCTTTCGGAGACCTCATCATATGTGGTATTGGGGACTCTAAAACTCAATGTAAAGAGTTCTTCGTTTACTTTAGTAATATTTAAGTTCAACGACATCGCTAGCCTCTGAAAATAGTGGTTGCTAACTATTTCATGATGTATAAATGTAAAAATTGTCACGTTAATCTTGAAGACCTAACTTCTTTTTTCACACATGTTAAAGGAAACCACTTATTGCCTTTGCATGTATTTAAATGTGGTTTTCCAACATGTACCCAAGAATTTTCATCATTTAAGGTTTTAAGAAAACATATGATAAGCGAAGAAAAACAAACTTTTGTAGTGGCTCCAAAAAGCCAAATTGTAAAAACGCCAAAATCGAATGTAATTGCGAAAACATCAATTTCACAGTCTGAGCCATCCTTTGAATTTAACCAAAATGTTAATTACTCCAACTGCCCATTAACGTTAGCATTTAATCATCCTGCTAATTTTCAAGAGCATGCTCTTAGAATGACTGTCAACAATTGCGCACAAATTAACCTGCCTAGATCAAAAACAGAAGAACTTCAAGAAAATATTAAAAAATTTATAACAATGCCAATCAAAGAAGAACTGGAAAAAATATTAGCTGACGTTAACGATCTCGAAAAAATTGAAAATTTAAAACAGTTTTGTGAAAACCCGTTTCAAAAATGCAGTTCGGAATATTTACTTATAAAAGAACTTAAGAATCGCGAAATGTGGCAAGATCCGGAAATTATTACGATTGATAACACAATTCAACCAAAAAGAAAAAAAAATACGTTCGGCCTTGACATAAAACTAAGCAAGGGAGTAATATTCCCTATAAAATTTTATCTAAAGAAATACTTTGAGCTTCCAAATGTGTTAAACGATTTTTTGTCAAAGCTAAATATTTTAAAAAACGAATCAACCTACACCAATTTTGTAAATGGAAATATTTGGAAAAGGAGATTCAATGAAAATGATAGCAATTCCTTTAGATTTCCCTTGTTTTTGTATTTCGATGATTTTGAGACAAATAACCCATTAGGAAGCCATTCAATGCCGCTTCTAGGTTGTTATTTCTCATTACCAACAGCTCCAGTACATTTGAAAGAAATTTTCATTGCTGCGTTATTTGAAACCAAACAAGTTAAAGAATTCGGTAATAGTCGTGTTTTTTTTAAATTAATTGAAATTTTGAATGATCTTCATGCAAATGGCATCAATATAACAACCACAAACGGAAATACTAGAATATACTTTAGTTTGGGACTTATAATTGGAGACAATTTAGGTCTGAATTCTGTTCTCGGTTTTTCAAGATCGTTTTCTAGCAACTACTTTTGCAGGTTCTGCAAGATGTCCAAAGAGGAGACTCAACATTCTTTCATTGTAAAACCTTCAGATTTGAGAACGATAGCTAACTATACAGAAGATACCAGGGAATGTAATGTGGCAGTGTCTGGCGTTCATGAGAACTCCATATTTAATAGAATTACAAATTTCTCAGTAATTGATAATTATTCTGTAGACATTCTACATGATATTTTTGAGGGAATATTGAATTATGACCTTTCCCATATACTTCTTCATTTTATTAACGGAAAAGTTTTTGACTTAGACCTTTTTAATATGCGCAAAAAAATGTTCAACTATGGTGAAACGGAAATAGGAAATATATGCCCAGATATAAGCTTAAATCACCTAAAAAAATTTAAATTTAAAATGTCGGCTCGAGAAATGATGACATTCGTTCATTACTTTCCACTAATAATTGGCGATAAAATTGCAAAAAATAGTAAAGTTTGGAGTTTCTTTTTAAACTTATCAAAGCTTGTTGATCTTTTGACACTTTTTGAATACAAAACAATTGACATTATTCAGTTGGAAAAATATATAACAAGTCACAATAGAGCGTACACAACATTATTTCATGATACGCTTAAACCGAAACACCATTTGTTGTTACACTATGTAGATATTGTAAAAATGTCAGGCCCTCTTCGTTTACTCTGGACTTTTTCGTTTGAGGCAAAGCACAGGGAATTGAAATCTTATTGTAAAAATATAAATTCAAGAGTTAATTTAACTAAGTCTTTATCTTTAAAATTCAATTTTGTGTTTGCAAACAAATTACTAAATTACACCATCAGAAAAAATAGTTTCAGCAAAACCTTTTGCAAATTTGAAAGCTCAATTTTCTACACTAAGTTTAAATTATGCTATCCTAACACCATTTTTATAAATGCAAAAAGCTATTTATATGTGAAAAAAAATGGATTCTGCTATAAACGCGACTACATTATTTTTTTTAATGAAACCAATTTCACTGCGTATGTCTTAAAAGATATTATATCGTACGATGATCAAGTGGTTTTCTTCTGTCAAGAGCTACAAACTGAATATGTTGAACATTATAATAGTTATAAGATAAATAGTTATAAAAACTTTACACTTATTGATATGAAATGTGTAACAAATCCTCCTGTTCATATTAATTTTAACCAATCCCATGAATTTATAAAGCCTAAGCTATTTTAATGTTATTTAAAAAAAAAAGTAATTTATAAAAAATCTAATAAAATTTATAAAAGCATTAGCTTAAAACCTGGTCTTTATGGCCGGGATTTTAGGAATTATTCTGTCTTTAATTTAAGGGAATATGGGATTTGTTTATTGGCAATAATGTGGACTTGAATTTAAGGGCATTTTGGTAAATTTTTTTGGCTATAAAATGGACTTGATTTCGTGCAATATTGGCTTTAATTTCGAGGGTTAAAATACCCTAAATTAAAGGTAAGGGAGTACTTAATTTAAGTCTATGTTTCTAAGGTCAATATTTCCTAAAATTTAAGGTACATTTTGGACTATAATTAAGTCCATCATGGCCTTAACCATAATGGACTTAAAACAAGTCCAAGATTCCTTAGGTCCAAAATTAGTCCATATTACCTTAGTTTAAGTCCATTTTTTGGGTTTTAAGTCCATATTTTTTTCTGGGTGCGTCTTCCGACGCGATCTGGCCAGAATATTCAAGACATTCAATTCGTATACACAAACCGATTTTACTGAGGAAATCAGCACAAACACCGACCTTGATTGCAAATCCGATTTAGAACAAGACCTATCTCAAATTTACGACCTGGACTTGGATTAATTTAAGAAGCTATATCTGAAAAAGAAATTCGTCTAGAAAATGGAATCAATGGAAAAGAGAAATAAACTTAAACGATCGCAATCTGAAACTAACATGGAATCTAGTAGAGCCAGGCTTCAGGGATCTCTGCGCTCCAGATCTCAAGAAAGCAGACGAAGTACCAGGGAATCTCCACATATTCCTCTTGATCCACTCATGGATATTTCATCGCAAGCGGATTTGGAGGATTTGCCATCAAGAAGAAGTTCAATCAGCACCATCGGCAGTGCAGAACTATCTGAATCTGATTCTAATTCGGAATCCGGCTCTCAAACTTCTGGCTACACCACCGAGAGCAGTTATCAAACGGCCTCTGGTTACGAACGCCTTCCACAGACAAGCTCATATGCCAGTATCCAGACTTCACCGCATGCGGATTTCCTACGGGAGATTCACGTGGCTATTGATACTATGGCCACCATAGAGGAGATTCATTCTGTTCACCGAGATTTAAGGGAATTGCTAACCAACGAGATGGGTTTGATCGGAGGCACAAATGGGCCAGTCATCTACTTAATAGCATATAACTATATGTAATCGGTTGAAGAGGTATTCAAAATTGCAAAACTGAAGGAAGCACATCTTTAAAACTTTAATTTAATTTATTTTATCGCATTTAATTAAGACCCAGTTCAAAGCTTAAATAAATATGAAATAAAATATATTAAAAAAGATTTATATTTAAAAGGAGACCACACGTTAAATACGGAATATATTTTCTTTTCGAATTATAAGAATATTGACCTCAGGCAAAGCAAACATTTGTCGAGTCTTCAAAGAGAATTGCGTCCTTTTTAAAAGTCATCTATTTAATCACTTTTTCAGCTACAAATGGGTTCGCTAACTTTATTCAGCCGTTTCAATGGACAATCAGTTCTCGAATGAAGTGTTTGCTCTTACTGCGTGATCTGCGCCTGTTGACATTATGACAAATTACATAAGCTAAAGGCAACAATTGCCGGAGCCCGTTCCGGAATCGAAGGGACTGAAAAGGAAGGAAGGAAGGAAAGAACAAACCAAAAACGGATACGCTTAGGCGGATTTTGGAATGGGTTTACGGGGTGGTTCGGGCTGTAGGACCGTTAATAGGAAAGCCACACAAGAACTGCTAACGAAGGACACGCGGCCAGCGGTTGAGCGACAAGTGCGTTGGGAAAGCAGGCACAGGGACCTCGGGCTCAGGCCCAGGACACTGGGGTCCTGGCTGCGGGGTGGATCGTCTGTTTGCTCAGCGCTAAGTGCACCGGTTCCGTGGGCAAGTGGAAATGATAAACATATTTACACAATTTTTGACAGGCGAACGGGTGAAACAAAACACCCGTGGGTGCAGTCCTCCAGTTCTCCAGCCCCTTTTTTATTTTGGTACGCACTTGAAACAACCGAAAAGAAAACCAAACGCAAACTCGATAAATATGTTTATGGGCAAATAACAAAATATTTGTCGATTGCCCAAAACGAAGTGATGGAAGGGGTGGGACTTTGGGTTCAGGGTAGGGCAGGATCTGAAGGGCTGGGCTGGTTGGCTTAAGGGGTGTTTGCGGGGGGTGCAAGGAAGCACCGCAAGCGCATAATTCAATTTTTCTGCTCGTTTTTGCACGTCGCCCGGCACACGTCACTCGAATCCTTTGGGACAGCGAACTGCCACGCTACACCAGCTAAACCCTGCCCAGCAGCACTGGAAAAAATATATGAAGGAAAATATTAACGGGATTACACCGAAAAAAAAAACAAATTAAGTGATAACAAATCTTTAGTAAAAAAATTTATTCAAAGTATATTTACGGTGTTTATTTTTAACAAAAAGGCTTCATCAAGTATTTAAATTATTGCAATAATGATTTTTTGAAGGTACACACAAAAAAAATTTGCCGGGATCAAACCGATATGCGCTTGGCACATTTTTGATATTTATAAACAAATCGTTTTTACCATGCAATACTAGTAAAATTGATATTAAATAATATTATTTTGTCGAATTCTCTCTCTCTCTCTCTCTGAGATTCTCTGACTTCGAAAAGGGAGAAAAAAGAAAGTGATTTCCTGTAGCGTTGTTTGAGAGTTTTCCCCCGATTTCCCAGATTTTTCCTGAGTGCACGCACTTTGCCAGGGATGCAGCGGATATTAGTGACACGTGGCGAAGGCTCGACCAAGGCGATCTGAAGGTCCCAGCACATGCGGTTTCCGGGACCTGCCTCTCCAGCCTCTTGTACACATATATATTTATTTGTTTGTAATTACGCGTGTTCTAAAAACGAAATCCCGCCGCACTTGAAGCCGGGAAAATGGAAAAATGCGAGGTTCGGATGATCCTGCTCTTTTCAATGCCCGCATTGTCGCGGGGACACGTGCATTGGACCGCCTCTCCTGGACTCCGGGTATTCCCAGCGCATTAGCAACAATGCCGGAGACATTTGGAGTTTGTCAACAGTTTCGCCTTTGGATTTGGTTACGGCTTTTATCCTTGTCAGCGGCGCGTGTCTCTGTCCGATGTCATCTTCTCCACTCCACTCGACTCCAATCCGCAGTCAGTTGTCAACTTTCTGGACTGGCTTTTAGTCCTGGGGATTGCCGATTGATTTGGCGTGGGATTTTCGAGAGGGATGTACTCGTGTGTGGGAGACATGAAACGAAATCATAAATGTGACATGCCGGGATCTTAGTTGAGCGGTTTAGGCAACTCCAGCATAGAAATCCCTTTGACCAGCAGCAAAACCAGGCTGCAATAAATCATCTCCTTAGGAAGTTCTTCAGCATATATCCTCAAAGAACAAAACTTTTGCCAGTTATATATTGGCGTCCCCTTTGGACCATATTTATTTCGAGGCGAGTGCATAAAAAAGTGGGGGGCGGGCCGAAACCAAGCAGCCACAACATTGAGCCCTCCTAAAAGGGCATTCAAAATAAGCTCATCGGAGATGTGAAGATGGCGGTCTGCCACCGAGAAAGCTTTCGTATTTAATTGAAAAACACTTAAGCTGCCGGTCCGGGTCGGAAAAGGAAAATGGAAATGGAAATGAAAATACCGCAGTCAGGCCAACCGCAAGGCTCTCATATATGACCCTAAAAGACCGACCCTATGACCCCAACTCATCTTCATGGCAAGACCTTTCTGGTGGTTCATAAAAACAAAGGACGAGCGGCAAACAAAAACTTTGCATAATTTAAACACCGTACACAGGACGAAAAAATTATCATTGGTGACACACAAAAACAATACTTTAAAGATTGTATTTTTCCTGGTTCAAAAACATTTTAATTGTGTTAAGAATTTGTTTAGTTTATATTGGGATATCTTTACACAATAGCGTTTAGGATTGTTTAACCTTCAATAACAAATATTTATTCAGGGTTAAACATTATTATAAGCAATTTAAATTTTATTATTGTTTTTTTAATTACTATAATAATATTTTATTTTATTTTATAGTTTCTAGTTTGTTCAATAACTCAAGTTCTTGATCAGTTAAGTAAAAGATATAAATATAACATTTTTATATTGATGTATTCGATGTTCTTTATATATTCCATTTCTGTGTACTTATTTTCATTGTATAAAAACCCAAGATATTTTTCGTGCCACAAATTTTTCTCTCTGCTGGAAAATCTCCTAGGCAGCACTCAGGTGGACACGGCTGAATCAAAGATGGCATGACTTGGCCACTTACCCTCGAGCGCACGATTCCTGGAAATTAAGGCGAGCACCAGTTCGGGATTTGGGTCATCCTGGTCGACAGCCAGGTGATTGTGGTGCGGATGCTGCTGTTGCTGCTGCTGCCCACCGACCAGGTGAGATGCCTGCGGCGTGGGTGGCAATTGTTGCTGCTGCTGCTGATGGATATGCGGCTGATGTTGCTGGTGATTATCCATGACTGTCAGGTGCTGTTGCTGCTGCTGCTGCTGCTGCAACTGAGGATGTTGCAACTGCGGATGTTGATGTGGCTGCTGCTGATGCTGAAGTTGGTGCTGGTGGTGATGATGTAGCGGTGGCGGTGGTTTCAGGGTTTGCATCATTGCAATGGGGCCGGCGATTTGTACACGCGTCGTATGAGCTATATTTCAGTTAGGTTATTTCAATTAGCACACGGTTTCTTTGTTTCTGAGGCCCTATAAAGTACAGAGAGTTAGACTTTTTGCGCACTCGCGACCCGTTTAACTAAAAGCCAACGAGACTCCGCTCGGCGGGATCGCTGTCTGCTCGATAACTGGCATTGGTTCGTGCCCAACTGCCGCCCCGTTGACTGTTTTTTTTGTTTCCCCTTATCGCGGCGGTCTCTTTGGGTTTCGGTTTGGTTCTTAGATTCTAGACCTGCGGTTCGGTTAGGTTCGGATCGTGCCAACAACGCTCGGCTGCTCTATCAGTTAAAGTAGCCAGGGACTTGAACAATTTGAATTTGTTTGCGACACCAGGGGGACACTAGACCATCTATCGTTGGGGTGCTTTCGACCAGGCGAAAGTCAGGTGAACTTTATGTAAGTCGGGAAGGGCCAAACTGATCACTAGCTATAAATATGATCGGCGCATATCTATTCATCGTCTGGCCTTAGGTGAATTCTCGAGCGGAAGTAAATTATTATCATTATTATCTATTGAAAATGAGCCAAGGTCCGAGTATTCACTTAGAAATAACTATTACTATTATTAGTTAGATCCGAAAAGCAACACAAAAAACTTGAACTATTATTGCATTTTTACAAATTATGTTTCTGTTTTAAAAATATGACTGTTCTTCATTACATCTATCTAAAATATAGTACAATAAAGGTATTGTATTTATCATCGACTTTGTCTTGTTTCTGAGACTTTCAAATTTTCGGTTACTATTTTGTTTTAGTCATTAAGAACTATCACTTAATTATTAAATAAAAAAAGCATGTGGTAATTATTCTTCTGTTTTTGACAAGTCGAAAAAAAGTACATTTTTTAACATCCAAAAAGTAAATCAATTGCTTAATTGTGCTTGCAAGTAAACGCGACGGAAAATGTAAAACCAACTGAACTAAAGAGAACTCCGTTTACCCAGTTTGAGTTTTATTTCGGCACTTTAACACTTTGTAATTTTAGTATTACATAAATTTTCGTTTATTTTTAAATCTTTCATTTGATTTTCTCGTTTTTTTTATTCCATTTGCAAATGGCACTCGAACACGATTTTATGCGAACGCCATTTTGGCGACGGCAACGGCAAAGGTAACGGTTTCGGTAACGAAAACGACGACGGCAAATGCGAACCGAGCGAGGCAAAATGGCGACGGCATGACTAGAGGTACGTAACGGTAAAAGTAGCAGCGACAACCCTGGACATGGCAACACTGGCAGGCGGCTGACAGTGGTCGTCCGTTGTTATTGTTGCTGGTGGGAATCCCCTGTTTGCCGTGCTGCATCTTTATTTATTTTCTTCGCCAAACCGTCGTCTTTCCCTTTTTCATTTTTCTTTTTTTGTATTTTGCGCACTTTTTCACGCTTTTGTTGTTGGTCTCTGTGAGGAGCTTTTAACGATACTTTTTTTTGTATGCCATTTGCCTTTTGGCCGCCCATATGGGTATGCTATGCGTATACGTACTAAAAGCGTACTGCCGTCTGTGTGTGTGTTTACCAATTGATCTTAATGTGACACAAATGATATGGTAAAATGCATACAGCCAGCCCTGAATGGCAGGACAACAATGGCAACAAGGCGACAACGCCAGCAGCGACGACATTTTTATGCTTCTTTTTTGGCCATGCGCATGTGTATCTCTCTCTTCCGATACCATTCCCCAACAAAAAAAAATTCCAAGAGCATTATAATATTTGTAAAACGTAAAAACTTTAGCCCCAAAAAATTATATAGATATGTATGGGGAAACTTTTGTTTCCCTCTGCCTCAAGAAATTCTAGCTGCAAAAGTGCAGGAGAAGGAAAAAAAGTGAAAAAACGAAAAGTGGGTAGAACAAAAAGCCAACCAACGTCGAGCGACACCTTCGTTGGCCCCAAAACAACAGTAAACAGCACTTAAAAGTCAGCAGCGACGCCGGCAGAGGCGAAACAAATATGAGAAACTTAACTCAAAAGTCCAAGTCAATACGCGGAGCGGTCGCCAAAAAAGCAGGGCTTCCAGGGGAAAACAGGCACCGCCCCTTTATATTGAAAATCGTTGGAAATCGGCTGATAGGCGAGAAACAACAAGAACAAGAAAAACCTCAAGAATTTCCAGGCATGCGCAGGCAGCGGCATTATCTTATCGCCCCAGCGTCGCCATTAAAGTGGGTGGGTGGCGGTTCTATTCCTAGGGTTCGACATCGTTCCAGCGCCGACGCAGTGGAAAATCTGTAAGGCGGGGCAGAGGGTAACGGAATCCATAACCCGAATCACCCGGTTTCATGCGATTGCTGTATCTGCATAAGGTGTTGTCTGTCTATAGTTTCGAACCCCTTATATCTATAGTATAGCCCACCACCATCCCCCATTCCATTCCAAGACCCCTCGAATGCGTTGCGTCTGCAAAAACGATTTTGTTTTCGCATTTATTTATGAGCCGCTTAGAGCGCGCCAAATACTTTGCCAAACACTTTGAACCCCAAAAACCCCATCGCCATTCTCGAAAGCCCCCGAAAACCCCGTTCCCCATGGAGGACCCCACCCGCAAAAGTGGACACTAGAAGAAGGTCGTTTATGGGATGGGCTACGCGGGATGGGGGAATAAAGTATCGCGAACAGCTGGAATGCATGGGTCGCTTCACAAGTATGTCACAGTTAAATATAGATCTTTATTAACATTTTCCCAGTTTTTAGTCTTGTTTCACAATATTTTTTAGTTTATTTTGTAATAATAAATTCATTTTTTACAAACCGAAACATTACAAGATTCTTAATCTATAAATATGTGTTAAAGTATTTATAAATCTTAGATTATAGTATAAGTAATGAAAACCCAATAAGTAAATTATTATAATTATTATTTGATTTATTAAAAACAAATTGTATTTTATTTAGTCAAGTAAACTTTATTACAATCAATGCTTTTTTATTTTATTTTCCATTTTTTTAAGATTTTTTAGCTAAGCTTTTTTGGTTCCCATTAACAATTTGGAACCACCAACTGTACTCAAAACCTCAGTATACCCTTGAACCCAAATAGTACCGGGTATACAAAGATATAGGCTAAGAGCATAAAAATGCAGCGTGACCCTGAAACAGATCGTGAATGGAAATGGCTGATGAAATGCACTCAGCGAAGACCGATCCAATGCAATTCAACCCAATCCGATTCCAATCTGTGGCGTCCCATTCGACGCTTCACTTCCGCGGTTACAAAATCGACTTTGACTTTCAAATTTTCCAACGCTTTGTTGTGGCTATCTAATGGAGCCGTTAATGGTTAAACACATGAAGTATTTTGCCAAATGGGCTCGACTTGGGACAGTTAATTGCTGATGATGCGATGATATGGAACCGGATTGACAGTGAGTAAGTAAGAGAGAAATACGGCGATTTAGTAAGCAGTGCTAAAGTTTGGATAACACATTTTAATAGACAATTAACAAGCTGTTTATTTAAATTTTCTTCTTCAACATTTTTACTTTTGTCTGGCGATCTCTTTTATTTTGGTAGTTACATAAACATAAATCTTGGCAATGGGCTGGTCACAGACGACGAGACTAAAAACTTGCTGCCACTGCACATTTTCACACATAGCCGGATTTTTGTTGTTTTCCCTCTGAACTTTTTATTGGGGGCCTACGCGACAACGACTTGAGATTCGGAGCTCATTGAGACTTGGTTAAAGCGCAGCCAGATCATTTGTAGATTCGAATGTCAGCGGTGCACAAGTGCGGAACTAACCGAGCGGAAAACTGTCGAAAAACCCCGAAAAAATCGGGCTTCTGTTTGTTTTAACCAGGATCAGGATCCATTGCCATGGACTTTGATGAGTTTCGTGATTTTGGCCATGCCTCTATAGAGTTTCTCATAAACTATTTGAGTGGCATACGTGAGAGGTGTGTGTCGAATGGTGAATAGTCCTTCGTGCTTATGAACCTCTTTTTATTCCCATAGAAATGTCCTGCCCAACACGGCTCCCTATGCGGTGATCAATCAACTGCCCAAGGAGATCCCTGAGCAACCGGAGCATTGGAGGGAGGTCCTCAAGGATCTGGAAAACATTATCCTGCCCGGCCTGACCCACTGGCAGTCGCCGTATTTCAATGCCTTCTATCCATCCTCCTCGTCGGCGGGTTCCATCGTTGGTGAACTCTTGATCGCGGGAATAGGAGTCCTTGGATTCAGTTGGGTAAGTGGAATATGTAAACGATAAGTGATTTATGTGCCCTATAAATAAACGTATTTTACGGATTTTATGTGAAATTCATACAATTGGCTAAAAATTTGTTTCCAAAATTATAATTATATTAAACCATAATATAATTAAAATTTATTTTTTATTAAACCTTAATATAATTATAATTTAATCATTAATACAGCTTTAATTTTGTTAGAAAAAAAGAATTGCTTCACAATTGGAAGAAAACGATTTTTCATAAAATCCGACGTCTACAAGGTATTCTTGTCGACCAATATTGCTTGTTTTTATTATTATGAATAATTATAACTATTACATATTGGTATTGCAGTAGAATTATAGATGCCATTCTCTTAAAAGTTAAACTTTAATAAACCTTTAAAAAAATTATATTTAATAATACTCTTTTTTTAACATTATTATTTTCATAATACATATTTATATCTTTTTTAACTTTCAATTTTCCAAAATCATTTTTAAGATGGAAAGACTAAAATTAATTTTTTTTTTTTTTTTTGTAATTTTTTATAGTTAAGTGAAGTGAAATAATGGAAGTTCCTGATTGTTCATTTTTATTATAAATCAGACTCGTCGAATTTCAAATTATGGTTCATTAGAGGCAGTCTTAACAGTCAACTCTAATCTTAAAAGTTAAACTTTAATAAACCTTTAAAAAAATTATATTTAATAATACTCTTTTTTTAACATTATTATTTTCATAATACATATTTATATCTTTTTTAACTTTCAATTTTCCAAAATCATTTTTAAGATGGAAAGACTAAAATTAATTTTTTTTTTTTTTTTTGTAATTTTTAAGTTAAGTGAAGTGAAATAATGGAAGTTCCTGATTGTTCATTTTTATTATAAATCAGACTCGTCGAATTTCAAATTATGGTTCATTAGAGGCAGTCTTAACAGTCAACTCTAATCTTAAAAGTTAAACTTTAATAAACCTTTAAAAAAATTATATTTAATAATACTCTTTTTTTAACATTATTATTTTCATAATACATATTTATATCTTTTTTAACTTTCAATTTTCCAAAATCATTTTTAAGATGGAAAGACTAAAATTAATTTTTTTTTTTTTTTTTTGTAATTTTTTATAGTTAAGTGAAGTGAAATAATGGAAGTTCCTGATTGTTCATTTTTATTATAAATCAGACTCGTCGAATTTCAAATTATGGTTCATTAGAGGCAGTCTTAACAGTCAACTCTAATCAACTATAAAAACTGTAATTTCTTCAAACGATTTGTTTAAGAGAGAAAGCCTAAGAGAACACATATAACGAACAGAGAGCACATCTAAAGCCTCAGCAAAAAAAGTGGGAACAGTTAGTGACTGCTTTAGTTGGTTACAATATATCTGTTCACATCTAAGAAATTGATATTGGTATCCATAGCTTGGTTGATACACTGTGTAATCAGTATGTGTGTTAGATACCCACTTAACAAATATGAAAATAGCGAAGTAATTGTGACTATAATTATTTTACAGGAATTATAAGATCGCGTAAACTATACCTTCCAAATGTGTTCCCTAATTTTAAAGATTTGACACGCTTCGTGTTCATCTGTGCGAGGAAATCAGTTGGAAATATTTTTTGAGATAAATGATGTATTTAATTACATTAATCTTTCGTTATCGGTCAAATAAAAAATAGATACCATGAATAATTTTGTTTACAAGTATAATTTTACCCTAAACTTCTGAGTCTTTAGGAAAATCATAGAAATTCGTATAGAGTACAAATGGATATAAATGAAAGCCTCGGAGTATGAATGAATACGTATTTAGTTTAATTTGATTAAAATAACAAACGCCACAAAATGTTCGTCCGTTGTTCTAGATGATTTCAAAAATACTTTTTTCAACAATACTTTTAAAACTATCCACCAGTTCTACCAGAATTCAAAAAGCTGGTTTTGTCAAAAAAATGTTTTTACTTTCTTTGATAGTTAGTACAATTTCTTTATGCATTTAATACGTTGAATAGCCAGATTTTGGAAAACGGCCGAACTGTCAGCTCTGGAGGCTGACCAGAGAAGTCGGTGTATAAAAGCCGGTCGTCACCGGCGATCGGTTTCAGAGTTAACCTCAGGCGACTTGGTGTAGCATCAACGGATTGATTGGAATCGTGTTGGGTAAACAGATCGTAAACGGAAAAATAAAACCAAAACAAACAGAACGTGAAAAGTGCAAATAGAAAACGAAATCGAAAATTGTCAGCGAAATGGATGCCAAGGAGTTTCGGGAATTTGGCAAGGCGGCCGTTGACTTTATGGCCGACTATCTGGAGAATATTCGGGATAACGATGTGCTGCCCACCGTGGAACCGGGCTATCTTCTGGACCTGGTGCCCTCGGAGATGCCGGAGAAGCCCGAGTCGTGGAAAGAAGTCCTCGAGGACATTAATCGCGTGATCAAGCCGGGTCTCACCCACTGGCAGTCGCCCAATATGCACGCCTACTATCCCACTGCCACCTCGTATCCCTCCATTGTGGGTGAGATGCTGGCCAGCGGGTTCGGCATCATCGGATTCAGCTGGGTAGGTCAGATCGCTGGTGAAATCTCGCTCTTATTTGGGTCCATTGTTTTGGCCGGCTGAATGGGCGCCCATTGTGCGCAGTGGGGGAAAGTGAATCCAAGAACTCGACAAACAGGTTGCCACTGCACCAGACGAAAGAGAGTTTTCACACAAATCAATCGGCAATTGTCACTATATAAATTTATTGTGCAGAAGGCCGTAAGTTGCCTCTAAACAAATTTAAATATGTAAAGAATTTATTGGGCAAGGCATAAAATAAAAGGTTCAAAAGCATAATTTAATTGTGGACTAATGAAAAGAAAATTGAGAGTGACTAAAAAAAATAAAGAAATAGGAATAGGAAATAAAGCAGAAGTTTCGAAAGCATAATTTTGTTACGAATTAATGAAAAGAATATTAAAGTATATAAAAAGAAAGAGTTGGTTTTATACTCTACATTTTTAAATGTTATGTTTAAAGTAGGCTTTAAACTAAATTACAATTGTTTGTAAGGACTAATAAGAGCCCCTGAAAGTGCGGTTTAAATATAAAAAACTTATAAACACATTAATCTCAATTCTTATTTTAAAATTTTCGCATAATTTACTAATTTTATTATTTTTTTAAATATTTACATATTAACTTAATATGTAAATATTATTAAGTAAGTATTTTTTACACAAAAATTCCGCAAAAAGAAAGCGATGGATTAAAATTCGAAATTTTTAAATGTTTTAAGGCCCGTATGATAAATTTGAAGTACAGTTTAAACTAAATTCCAATATGTTTTTAAGAACGAATAAACAGCCACAAAAATGCAGTTTAAGCTAAGAAATGGTATTAAAAATTTGAACTTAATCATTATTTTAAAATGTTTGAATGATTCCCTAAATTTTTAAATACAATTTTTTTTTAGCCAATTAAAAAAATATATACACTTATAAAATAACAATTTTTTTATGCAAATATTCCTAACTAATACGCCTCCTCCCTCGCAGATCTGCAGTCCCGCCTGCACAGAACTGGAGGTGGTGGTCATGGACTGGCTGGCCAAGTTCCTGAAGCTGCCCGCTCACTTCCAGCACGCCAGCGAAGGACCCGGCGGAGGTGTGATTCAGGGATCGGCCAGCGAGGCGGTCCTGGTGGCTGTTCTGGCGGCCAGGGAACAGACGGTGGCCAGCTACAGGGAGTCCCATCCGGAGCTCAGCGAAAGCGAGGTGCGCGGTCGCTTGGTGGCCTACTCCTCGGATCAGAGTAACAGTTGCATTGAGAAGGCGGGCGTTCTGGCTGCCATGCCCATTCGTTTGCTCCCAGCTGGAGAGGATTTCGTACTCAGAGGCGAGACACTGAAGCAGGCCATCTTGGAGGATGTGGCGGCCGGCAGGATTCCGGTGATCTGCATTGCCACCCTGGGCACCACGGGCACTTGTGCCTACGACGACATCGAAACCTTGTCCGCCGTCTGCGAGGAGTTCAAGGTGTGGCTCCATGTGGACGCCGCCTATGCCGGCGGAGCCTTTGCCCTGGACGAATGCTCGGACCTTCGAAAGGGTTTGGATCGTGTGGACTCGCTGAACTTCAACCTGCACAAGTTCATGCTGGTCAACTTCGATTGCTCGGCCATGTGGCTGCGGGATGCCAACAAGGTGGTCGATAGCTTCAATGTGGATCGCATTTACCTGAAGCACAAGCACGAGGGTCAGTCGCAGATTCCCGATTTCAGGCACTGGCAAATCCCGCTGGGTCGTCGCTTCCGGGCTCTCAAAGTTTGGATCACTTTCCGCACCCTGGGAGCCGAGGGTTTGAGGAATCATGTGCGCAAACACATCGAGTTGGCCAAACAATTCGAGCAACTGGTGATCAAGGACTCGCGCTTTGAACTGGTTGCTCCTCGAGCCCTGGGTTTGGTCTGCTTCCGTCCCAAGGGCGGCAATGAGGTGACCACCCAGCTGCTTCAGCGCCTCATGGATCGCAAGAAGATCTACATGGTTAAGGCCGAACATGCGGGGCGTCAGTTTCTCCGATTCGTTGTGTGCGGCATGGATACTAAAGACTCCGATATTGACTATGCCTGGACGGAGATCGAGTCCCAACTGACGGATCTGCAGGCGGAGCAATCTCTGATGGCCCGCAAGGCCGGAAACGTGGCCGATCTTACGCAGCACTTCCAGATCCATCTGACCAACGATAATGCAACGCACGAGAAGTCTCAGTGAGAGAAGCGATGAAACTATTTATGTTTAGGTTGTCCTTAGTTCGCATTGTAGTTAGTAGCTTAACACAAGTTTAAAAATAAAGTGAAAAGTTAAAAGATATATAGTAGTTTTTATATTTCTAGACGAACTTATACAAAATACAATCACTAAGTCAGTAGCTGATAGCAAAATAAAAATTAATTTAAATATTTGAATTTGGCGGCTCAGTGTGGCTGCATTTTCTGAACTAACTATCGATACCATTTTAGCGTGCCAATCGATAAGCGATTTAAAATCGATAGCTAGGCATGCCACCTCTAGTTCCCTCAACGAAATTTTGAAAAACGACAAAATTCCAAACAAAACAAATTGCAAACAAAATTCGGAACGCCAGGAAACCAGTGCCGCTTGCCATGCAATGGTAAGTGCAGAGCCGTTGCCGGGGCCACTAAAAGCCCACTTCTCTCTTCGCCCGCAGTTATAAACTGGCCAGCAGGCGCAGCTTATACAATGCACGGGTGCTCCAGGCGGATCACTTGGGTGACCAGTATCGCAGTCCGGATCTGGAGGCTGCCCGCCAGAATGCCCGGATAGTGGTTATTGGCGCCGGACTCGCCGGTCTCTCGGCCGCCCAGCATCTCTTGTCGCACGGCTTCCGACGCACCGTTGTCCTGGAGGCCACCGATCGCTATGGCGGGAGGATTAACACCCAGCGCTTCGGGGACACCTACTGCGAACTGGGGGCCAAGTGGGTCAAGATCGATGGGTCACAGGACTCGATATACGAACTTCTGCGCAACACCGAAAGTCTGGGCAAGCAGATAAAGCAGAAGGAGCGACCCACTTATGTCCAGGTGGAGCAGGAAGGTGGTCCAATCAAGCCAGCCATGGTGGAGCTTATAGATACCCTGTTCCGGCAGCTCTGCCGTGGCTTTAAGCTCGCCGATCGGGTTAAAACCGGCGGTGACCTGCACTCGCTGGACAATGTGATGAACTACTTTAGAACCGAAAGCGATCGCATTATTGACGCCTCATTTAAGCTACCAGAGGATCGGCTAGCCGCACGCGAGATTTTCCAGTCGCTCTTCAAGGAGTTCGGCAGCATTCTGGGCTGCTGTCTGGAGTACGTGAACATCGAGCACATAACCAAGTGCCCAGTGCAGCCGGAACAGCGTCCACTATATGTGCCCACTGGCCTGGATAACGTGGTAGATGACCTCATCCAGCGGCTGGACAAGGAGCAACTGCAGACGGGAAAGCCTGTGGGCCAGATTCAATGGACGCCGGCGCCGCTGAAGAGTGTGGGCTGTTTGGATGGCAGTCTGTACAGCGCGGATCACATCATTTGCACCCTGCCTTTGGGTGTGCTCAAAAGCTTTGCGGGCATCCTGTTCCGACCCACGCTGCCGCTGGACAAAATGCTGGCCATACGCAACCTGGGCTTTGGCAATCCCCTGAAGATATACCTCTCGTACAAGAAGCCCATTAACCGCTGGCTAAAGAGCAACCTGCGGCCACTGGGTAACGTTCTTAATCCCGCATTACAAGAGCAAACGGAACGCAACTGGACACAGCAGGTGGTGGAGATCAGCCAGGTGCCCAGCAGTCAGCATGTGCTGGAGGTTCATGTGGGTGGCGGCTACTACGAGGAGATTGAAAAGCTGCCCGATGACAAGCTATTGGAGCAAATCACCGGATTGCTGAGGCGCTGCATTAGCAATCATTTAGTGCCGTATCCACAGGAGTTACTGCGCTCCAGCTGGAGCACTTCGGCCTGCTACCTCGGCGGTCGTCCCTACTTCTCCACCAGCAGCAGTGCCCGCGATGTCCAGCGATTGGCGGCTCCTCTGGGCGAGAAGTCACCGAGTCTACTCTTTGCCGGGGATGCTACCGATCTTAAGGGATTCGGAACCATCGATGCCGCCCGCTCCAGTGGCATCCGGGAGGCACAACGCATTATTGACTTCTATCTCAATCGCATGCAATGCGGTTAACTGCAAGCGAAAATCTAAATTGGCTGCGAAATTGTACAAAATATCGGAATAGAAACTCACTAGTCAAAATTTATAGTTACAATTTGTTGTATTTTTAAGCAGAATACATTTGTTTTAATTAGGCGTAGAACGTTAACAATAAAAGCATTAACAACATCAACGATACGATGATACTTAAGGTCTAATATAGCGATGTAAATTCCCTAAACATGTCGCAAATGGATAATAGATTGAGGTCTGTTCCAGTTTTTAGTTTAAGAATGTGTTACCATTAAGTATTTAACTTTTTAGTCCGTATACACTTGATGGTAACTTGGTCCATTTATTAACAACTTGAAAATAATAAAGTAGCTCTATTTTATTTTATAGATAAAAACCGGAACAGCCCTGTAAAACTTTACTGCAATGCTGTTAACTGCAAGCGAAATTGTACAAAATTCCAGAAGAGAAAAACTCTCTTTTCAAAATTTATAGTTACAATTTGTTGTATTTTTAAGCAGAATACATTTGTTTTAATTACGCGGAGAACGTTAACAATAAAAGCATTAACAACATCAACGATACGATGATAATACTTAAGATCTAATGTAGCGATGGAGGACCATCTTATGTTGCGATGTAAATTCCCTAAACGTGTCGCAAATGGATAATAGTTTGAGGTGTGTTCCAGTTTCAAATTTAAGATAGTGTTACCATTAAGTATTTATCATGATGATAACTTGGTCCATTTCTTAACATCTTTTTATAATAAAGTATTTCTATTTTATTTTATAGATAAAAACCGGAACAGCCCTGTACAACTTTACTGCTCCTTTTGCATTTCATCGGCGGCGGCACTGACCTCCTTCCAAGAGTACTCCATATCCTCGGACTGTGTAAAGCGAGAACAGATAGCCATTCGCAGGAAGTACACATCCTTGATCTTGGCCGGAACCATGTGGATGTTGCCGCGTCCATTGATCCTCTTGAGCAGAGCTTCGTTCTGCTCGTTGTTGCCCTTCAGCCGGAAGCAGACCAGTCCCATATTGACCTCGGCGGCCAGTTCAAAGCGCGAATCCGCCACGCAGAGATCACCGAATTGCTTGGCAAAATTGCAATGCCTACGGATGTGAGCCTGCAGATTCTCCACTCCATAGAGCCGCAGGACAAACCAGAGTTTCAAGGCGCGGAAACGACGTCCCAGTGGAATTTGCCAGTGGCGATAATCCGGAGCGGAGCCCTGCATATCGTGCTTTAGGTACAGAGGATCCACATTAAAAGCGTTGACCACCCAACTGGGATCTTTGAGCCACATGGCCGAGCAATCGAAGTTCACCAGCATCCATTTGTGTGGGTTGAAGTTGAAGGAGTCGGCGGATTCGATGCCCTTCATGAGGTGACGGTACTCGGGACATATAAACGCTGATCCTGCATAGGCGGCATCCACGTGGATCCACACATTGTGCTTATTGCCCACGGGTCCGCACTCATCCAGGTAGTCGAAGGCACAGGAGTTGGTGGTTCCCAACGTGACGACGGCATAGAAGGGAATCAAACCCTTGGCCACATCCTCTTCGATGGCCTTTTCCAGAGCATCACCACGCATTCGGTGATTTTCCGAGGGCACCGAACGGAGTCTTACTCCTCCCAGCAGACCAGCTCGCTCCACCGAGGAGTGAGCCTGATCGGAGCAGTAGCCCACCAGTTTGCCCAGAATGGTGTGCTCATCCCACTCCGGATGCTGCTCCTTCACCTCCTTAACCTTCTTGGCCTTGGCACCCAGCAGAGCGACCAGTGTGGACTCACTGGCCGTTCCCTGGATGACACCGCCTCCCTTGCCGCCCGAACAGGCCAGGAATTCGGCGGGCAGGTCCAGCATCTTGCCCAGCCAGTCCATCATGACCACTTCCAGTTCCGTGCACGCGGGACTGGCAATCCAGGTGAATCCTATGCAGGCAATCGCACCACTCAGCATATCGGCCACAATCGCCGGATACGAGTTGGCCGTGGGGAAGTAGGCATGGAACTTGGGACTGTGCCAGTGGGTCACTCCCGGCATGATGACCCGTTCAATGTCCTCCATCACATCCTGCCACTTCTCCGGCTTCTCGGGCGCCGCATCCGGAATCAGGGGCTTCAGGTATCCGGGCTTCACTTCCGGCAGAACGCGCCTGCAAAAAGGATAATTGCGTTAGCCTCTTGATTTCATTTGGCCCATTCAGTAAAAGCTTCTGGCTAATTGCCTGTGAAACTCGGTTAGCTCACAAAGCAATCAGGAATCGGGGGAGCACAAGGACCCATCCCCCACTTGTTGCCAGTGGCAATAAAAATCAATAGGAATATGTAGCAAAGTTATGGGGAAAAGGATAAGGAGAGGGCAAAAGCTGACAGCGACAATTTTTCATTTTTCTTTTGTTTCAATTCATTAAAAAGTCTTAGGGGATTTAAAAAAATAGATAATAAATAATTAAACAATTCAAATTCAAGGAAATGCACCTAGTTTAAAAAAATAAAAAACAAAATTTAAAAAAAATAACAGTCAACTGAAAGAATTCTGTTGTTTTTATCTGTCTTGAAAATCTTCTTAAAAATAAACCGAAATTTTAAAAGTAAAAAATGTTGAATTGTCATTTTAATCTGATATTAAAAACATTCAACTCAAAGTAAAAAAATTTGTGCCTTAACGGTTTTTAAGAGTGAATGTGCTTGAATAATTTTCTCTGTGTAGTGAAATTATAATTTAGGTAATAAGTAAAAATCAATTAAAAGTAAACCTGTTTGTAATTTAATAATTTAGGAGTTTGTATATGGGTAAACAATCTCAACAGGTGCTCTTTATAAAACATTTTAATAAAATTGATTACTCTACCGACTCGCATTTTCAAGGTAATGGAAACGAAACCGTTAGAATTGCCCAAGAATAATGAACCACCAGTCGTTTTTTGCCCAAGGCGTTTGTAGTACAATTATATCTACATAAAAAATCGACCTTGACACGCCAACTTTACAAAACCTTTTTAATGCCGCAATAATTAATTAGTTTTAGGCTCAAGAGCAATGGCAAAAAAAACAGTGAAAGTACCTGGCTTTAGAGTAAGTGGGAAGGTCGCTCGAAAAGCCTTTAAAAATAATATATAACAATGCAAAGGTCCGATCGGAATCGGCGATACTTTCCCATGACTAATGCTCAAACGTGTGCTAAATGTCATTCACTTGCCCGGAATCGAGCAGACCGAACTTTCAAGTTAAACGCAAAACGCTGAGGTCAAGCAACAGATTCCATATAAATAAATTCTATATGTATCGAATGCAACAAATTAAATTTAATTCAAGCTAATTGAGAGACACTCATTCTCGCTTACCTTTCGCGTATGTTCTCCAAATATTCGGCTATGAAATCCACCATTGTTTTGGCAAAATCTTTAAACTCGGGGGCCTCCATGTCGATCTTTGGTGTGGTTAAAAGAAGTGGGTTAAAATGTTGTTGCTTTCGGTGTTTCTAAGCTCTATAGACATACCGAAACCTTGGGATCCAGCTTATCTTCCAAAATGTTAGCTTTACCATTACCATTAGTTTGTTTTGATAGGTTAGTGCTATTAGTCGGTAATTGGCTCATTTTTTTAGTTTGGTCAAGATATTGCAATGTGATGAAAGCGAAAAATAAGTGCTGATAGGAAAGAACGTGTGCGATTATTAAAAGGGTGTTTGTTAGTTAGATAGTGCTAATCAGTGACAGCTACGATGCTATACCTAATCTATTTACATTTCGACAAATAATGTACTTAGCTATTAATTACTATGTAGTAAAACTATATTTATTATTTTAATAAATGTTTTAAAGTGGTTTTGCTTTGCTTGGATGATTGGGCTAAGTATAGACCGCTAATCAAAGTGATAATTAAAATGTTTAATGCATTCTTGCATTAATTATTACTGGATTATTTTTTCTCAGTTCACTTTTTAAGCAACGTAAACAAGTTGGCATTGAGACGGCGACTTGTTGCCAGCAAATAAGCACACAAAAACTAATTTTAATGGATACACAAAACATGCAGATACCAAAAGTTGACAAAAATTAGGCACTAAAGAATGCAGAGGCGAACCTAGGAATTAAACCAAAAGCGAGGCCAGATGCCCAGTTTTAGATATGTACATTACGTATACGCCGCGTTAGCCCCGAAATGAATCTTTCCCATGCACTTTACATTATGTTGGCCAAGCACTTTAGGTATTTAAAAACCCACAGGCACCTTTCGTCACTCACCGTGCACTTTAGTTAACTGCCTTTAATTATTTGCACTTGTCGAGCTTTGTTTCCGTTTCGAACTAAATCTTTGCCCAACTTGAGTTTGCCTTATTGTTCGTTAGCTGCGAGTTTGTTCTGTGTTGAAATGGTTGAAATGGGCTGCTGTGCGCTCGCCGTTCGCCTCTTAACTGAGCGCTGCTCGCTCTTGGCCAAGGCTTTTAAAGCCCGGCCAGCAGCGCTGCCGATTCCGCAGGACCGGTTCAATTTCAATTTCAATCCACTGCCGCTGAACTTCGGAGGCGGGTTGTAAAAATACATTCTGCACTGATATTGTGCTTGATTTGTGCACGTTCTTCGCGGTGATTTTGTCACTTTTACGGAACATGCATTAATTTGGGGGTGACTCAGTAAACTGGACAATTGACTTGTTATCGAGAGGGGTGCTATATACTGTATAGAATCCCCTAAACTTCAGTGTTATATCTATATTTGTTGCTTACAGATTTTATAACACAATAATCGGGATATTAACAACAAATAAATTAATTTAAACTTTATAATTAAATGTTCAAAAAGCTTAAAAAAAAGCAAACATTTGAATATTATATACTTTTTGTGGCTCAAAATAAAACAAAGTTGAAGATATTATAGTTTAAAATGTGCTCTATAAAGCTAAATAAATTGATTTGAGTTCCGCTCACGTGCTCCTTAGCTCTTTCTCAAGAGAAGAGTGCGATCGCGTCAGGAATCCCCCTTTCATGAGTCACCCAAAACAGGGTTTTTCTTGAGCTCTGAAGAAAATAAAAAATCACGCAAAATAAGATAAACAAATTAAAATTCATAGAAAACGCAAGAAATTGATTAACCTGCGAATGGCACGCTTTACGCGCATCTGACGAACCGGTTTTCAGAGCATCATCTACATATGACGAGGCTTTGAACCGCTCATGTTATTGTGACGTCAAATAATCCAATCCCCTCACTCACTTTCTGATTGTACTTGGGGAAGTGGGCTAGGTTGAGCCTTTTGAAGGGGAAATAGGAAGTGCACAGAAAAAAAAAGATTCATAGAGGTATTAAAATTGTTTAATTAATTTAGAGATGCACTTTTTAAAATTGGTTTCAAAAACCCCATTTGTATACAAAAAATTATTTTAAAAGCAAAAATTGGTAAAAAATTATTTGCAAAATAAAAATAGTTTATCATCATATCATACAAGTTTTTCTTTCTGTTTTGGGGTTTGATGAGTTCACTGCGGGTGGACCAACTGTTGCTGAGTGCGAAAGAAGTGTGTGTGCCTGACATTTCAACGAAGCCACTTTGGCAAATCACTTGACTGAATCAACAGATTTATATGCCATGCCAACGGCTCTGCTTTCGATTTTAATGCGTTGGGTGCACCACCCAACCACCCATCCACCAAGCTACCCAGCCACCCACATTATGCTGCTTTACGGGTGGCTGAAGTTCGGGTCGATTGGGGCGAAGAATACTACAATTTGATTTATGGCTGACTTGAGTTGCGAATGAATAGAATAGAAGACTACGAAGTTTATGGGGGTCGAATGGCGCCTTCGAGAGGGGGATTGCATAACCAAGCAGAAGAGGTGAGAATGGAGATAAGCGGTGGTATATTTTTTGGTCCGTATCAAATTGCTGAGCTCCATAAGGGCACGTATTTAGTGGTGACCGATAAGATTCTTAATAAACAATTTGATTAGAAAACTGTTTTTTTTATTTTAATATCACGCCATTAACGAATGGGTTTCGTTAACTTATTGGTGTTGTAAAGATCTCAAAAACTAGGATTATAATATGGCACCACTACACACAAAAAAAAAACTTGGTAAAATCAACTGTAATAATTGTCAAACAGGCCCCAACCAGCAAAATTGTCAATTCTACTAAGTAAATAGTCATTTCACAACAACAAAATACACACAATTAGCAAAGACACAAACCCAAAGCAAAAACAAAATACACGTGACTATTTTAATAGTTACGTAACTATCTTTGTTGGTCAATTTTACCAAGCAAATTTTTTTGTGTGTATGAAGCAGTAATTACTAAGTGGTTAGTCAGGAGGTCTTTGAACCCTATAAATATTTTACCTGTAATAATATTTCTGCTTTAAGTAATAATAGAAAAGGACAATGTATTCGACTTTAACTTAGGAGCATCCAAATATCAGGGAAAACTAAAAATGGTTCGTGGAAATTTTTAGATTAGGTATGTAAAAAGACTATAAAGCGAGCAACATATCTTCGGGTGTTGTTCTAATTTAGAACTTCTAAATGTAAAATAAAAAACAATTTATCTACACACAAAAAAATTTGCTTGGTAAAATTGACCAACAATGATAGTTACGTAACTATTAAAATAGTTACGTGTACTTTGTTTTTGCTTTGGGTTTGTGTCTTTGCTAATTGTGTGTATTTTGTTGTTGTGAAATGACTATTTACTTAGTAGAATTGACAATTTTGCTGGTTGGGGCCTGTTTGACAATTATTACAGTTGATTTTACCAAGTTTTTTTTTTGTGTGTATAATGTAACGCTAGGCATGGAGGGAACAGAAATAGCCGATATCCCCGTAAACAAAGTAAATAAAGTGTACTATTTTTATATCAATGGTTATGATTCCTAATCATTTTTATGGGACACTAAAACACTTCACAATTTAACTAGATGGGTATAGTATGAAGAACGAGCTTAATTCTAAGAAAAGAAATTTTAGGTGACCTAAAAAAATAATTGGCCATAAACTTTACTCATTATGTTGCTTGGCTGGTTTAAAATTATTTTTTTAAGAAAAAGTGAGATTTCTTAATCAGTTACAATCATGCGCGGATCCACGGGGGGTGATGCTGGTGTTATATAACCCCCCACTCGGGTGAAAAGTAAAAGGAATTTTGGTGTTCAAAAAGTATGAAAAAAAATTGTTTTGATCCAAAAATCCTAGATCCGCCACTGGTTAAAATTGTCCTTGAAAGTCGGATAAAAATATTTTAGAACATAATTTGCATTATCCTTGTTCTGAAGTGTATATTCTTATGCGAAGAAATGCGGCATAGGCAACTCTTCAAGGTATAAATGATATATTAGCGAAAGATTCGACCTTTTATTACCTACCGTACAATACTTAAAAGACATTAAGATTCGGCTTAGGTCAAGAAAAAAAGCGAAAAATGGTTTACACTGTTACAGTAGTGGCCACCGCAGTGGCCACCGCCAGTTATTGATAAGATTGGAAGTCGTCGCTGCTAAATGTCCACCTACCTAAACAAATTTAGGTCGATGCAGGCAGGCCTGTGCACACATGTGTGCAGTCAGGCCATAAAGGAATCCCACGATCGGTCACGTCTTGACACCATCTGCACGCGTACCTCGCGGGAATTTCGCTATCTTAAGGAGTTATCATGTCTGTAGCCACCTGGTATTGTTTTGATAGGATAAACCATGTATCTGATAAATGTAACCCAAAGTAGACCTAAGTAAAGAACATGTATATAAACCAGCGGTCGGCACACACATACTTTGACATTTTGTTTTATATTTGTGTGAGTAATTTGCACTGGGCAGCTCATCGATGTGTGTGTGCAGACCGCTGTTCTACGTTATACGTGTGCGAGCAGCGCGCCGGCAGAACAAAACCCTATGCTCACTTAATAGGGCGCTGCCGACCGCTGATATAAACCCCATGCAATATTCAATAAAATCAGTACGACAAAAACTTTTTGCGTATTCACTTCTCCACAGCCCAATTTGTAGTGAACTTATTGCGGCGACTATTGCCACTGGTATTGTACTTGAGGCACGCAACAAAAACTATTTTAGGATTTAATTTTGATCCATACAGTATTCAGATTCAAAAGTTAAAGTTAGTTAAAATAAAAGTTAGTAGCTAATTCTTAAAATTGAAAAAAAAAAAAATAATATCGCCGAGAGAAGAGCAACGAAACGTACTTTTATGTTCTTTTAATTCTTTGAACACTCTATTGAAAACTATACAATATAGTCGTTCCGTCTATAAAAAATATTTTTGCTTACGTTTAATAGAAATTCCGTTAGTAGTGAGAGAAATGATTGGGCAGAAACTCGACCGTTGATGCTGATCAACGAAATGTATACTTCATGGGATCATTCATTAATCTTACTTATGTAGTCACCTAATGACACCTGCCATTTCAAAATGATTAAACTGAATTAGAAAGACAACTTAGGTAAGGTTTATTATTTATTGTTTTTTTCACATAATGAAATTTTCTTGTGGTCTGTGTTTCTTTGAATTACTGGAGATGTTTTAGCCAGATGCAGATCTTAAGGACCAATTCAGCAGGACGCGCACTCAAGCGACTCAAACGTAAACAACAAAAGTTGAGCCGCACTGGGAGCGCGCACTGCGACCGGATTTCGAACCCGATCGGGAAGATAATGGAAAAACCGATTACATGAGACAAATTTTGGTTGTTTCGCTTAATATTCTCCAGTCAGTCGGGCGAACGCATTAGAGTAGTGCATATTTCAGCAGAAACAATATCGAAAGTACTTAGTAAATGCTATAGGTAGTTACAACTTAACGGAACTAGATGCACCCATCTACTGCGCGACAGTGGATGGCAGGTTGAGCAGCGTGCTCTGTCCGCTGGGCAAGTAGGCGACGCCGCGAGACCTGGATAGCTGGTAGGCGATATCCTCGGCGGCCTCGATACGTCGCAGCTCCACCAGACCGTCTCCGGCCTCGCCGAATGACTTGGCCAGCAGACCAGCGGCCTCGGCGTCACCCTCCGCGGAAATGATCGAGGCCAGCTTCTGCTGCTCGGCCTTCTCCACGACGAAACGAGCCTTCTCGGCCTCCTGCTGGGCCACCTGCTTCATCTCGACGGCCAGCGTGAACTCGCGACCAAAGGTCAAGTGTGTGAGCGAGATGTCGTCCAGAATGAAGCCGAACTGCTTGGCACGGACAGTCAACTCCTGGGAAACACGCTGGGACACCATCTGCAGGGGGAGAGACACAGTTAATAAGGCGTTGTAGGATTATAATCAGTTTAAAGTAGACAAATTGGTATTTATAGGACTATTAAAACAAGCCTATGGGTTAAAGATCATATTTCTATAATCTGGTACACTTTACGACAGAATGTAACCCAATTCTTCAAGTCTGAGTTCCACGATC